ATGAACACGGGCAGGTTCTCCGAGGGCAGGCAGTTGTAACAAACAACTGCATCCAGGACTTGCAAGGAAATCTTTGGGAAAGGAAAAAACAAAATGTTTGTATGCTTCCCTGTGAATCAATCAGGTCAAATCCTCACCTGGCACACCCAGGAAATCTTCTGGAAGTCAAAAAGGATGAAGATATTTTTGGGTTTTTTTCTTTTTTTTTTTTTTTAAAGCAATGTCAATTCATTTATCAAATTGATTAGTGCTCTGTTTGCTTTGGAATAAATTAATGGTGTATGAGATTTATTGGTTCATAAATAACACAATATTGCATCAGCTCTTTTGAAAGATGAGAATAAACCCAGAATCTGATGTTCTGATTTTGTTTGTAAAAGTTACAAAGAACTTCAAAGAGTCCTGCAGTACTAAAAGAAACTCAGATCACTGACCTCTATGTCCATAGATGATGAAGTCTGAATGCACAAGAGGCAGATCTTGCTGTTAAGAAAGAACATTTAATTAGAACTGTTTGCTCCACATGATTTTGGGCAAATGACAAAGAGCCAGAACAGTCAGGTTAATTGCCATGTTATTTAACTCCTCACTGCCCTTCCTGTGGCAATGTTGGTGGCACCCCAAGAGCTCTGCAGGCTCTTTCATAAAGGGAGACTTAAATGCAGCTCAGGTAATGCCACAGCACAGACCCTTGTGAGACTAAGCACTGCAAACAGGCCCATCCCATGGAATGGGAAAAGCACATTTAGTTCAACTAAAACAGATCTGAACACTGCAAGAACTGAAAATCAAATATTTGTCAGAAATCACCTAAGATGAAACAGATCCAGACGAGGACAAAAAATATCCCAGTTGTCTGTATATTGATCTTCAACTTTCTCTCTAATTTACCAGGAATAAGCAGGCAGGAGTTTAAAAAAAAACAACTTACTGGACCATGTCAGCTACATAGTCTTCCAGATAGCAGCTATTGAATTTCACCAGGTTCACCAGAACCAGGAGGAACTCAGAAGTCAGCCCAACATCCATCCACTGTAGCACAAAATCAGCTAAAGGAGGAAAAAAAACCTGTTACACTACACCTTCTACCCAGGAATGACACCACTACCTTTTTCTGTTGTCACTGGGTGTCTCTGCCTGGATTTATTCCCCCAGATTGAAGAGGGGCTGGGACAATTCTCACCCAGCTCCTCCTCTAAGTAGGTGATGTAGCGTCCGTTCTCCGTCAGAGCCTTGAACACTTCCAGCCGCTCGTGCAGATCTTCATTGGAGGGATAATCCTTAATAACCTTAAAAAAATGGGCTCTGAGGATCCCCAGCCTCTCACCCTTGAAATGGAAAAAGGGAAGGGGTTAAGGCCTGGTCATTATCAAGGTATACCTCAGCAATCTTCATGCTTTAAATCAGCTTTTTGTTGAATCAATGCCTATTCTCTCCATCAGCACCCACCCTTGCTTTCTCAGAACACTGAGAACGACAGCTTTGGGCTGATTCAGCCCCCTGTTTGTGCAATACGTTGGGAAATCTGAAGAATTTGTTGTGTGCTGAACTTGGCCAGGCTGGAAGTGTCTCACACAGAACCCCTTGCATACCTGAAACATCAAAACCAGCTGCAAACTGGGACTAGAAGGTCTGGGCAAAGACCACATAAAATCTGCTGAATTATGCTGAACTTAACCCAAAGTATTTCCTCTTTCTCAAGAGCATTACCCCAAAACAGAACAGCTTTCTATGAGTTGTAGGAAAAGTTTTGCTACGAGCTCAAATCAAAACTTAAAACTAAAACGCTTCTTCTTCTCATTTATGAGGCACAACCAAAATTACAAATATGAACTTCTGCAGGGAAGAGCTCCCTGGTGCTGTTCCCATTTCCCCCTGACAAAACCCAGTTGAGGTCGGTGTCCCCTGCCCTGTGGGGCTGTTGTCACCTGTCCCTGGACGATGGACTTGAGCAGGTGGAGCACGGCGTGCCTGGCCTCGGCGGGACGCTCCGGCTGCAGCATGTCAGCCACCACCTTCCACACGGCCTCCACGGCGTGCTGGGAGCAGAAACAAAAACCAAACCAAAGCAAAAGCATCAGGTAGGAAAGCTCAGCTCCTCCAGGATCTCCAGCAGCAGGTCACAACGAATTATGGCAACTCATGACGAAGATCCAGGGGCTCCATGTCCGGAGTTCTCTGTTCTGGGGGACACTCACCCACCTGGTGACACACTCAGATCAACCCCAGGAGACACCAAACCCAGCCCTACGCCCCAGGAACTGCAATTCCTCATTCCACACTCACTGCAGGTGGGAATATTTGTGCAGAAGCCTTCACCCAGCTACAAGATGAGTTCAAAACCAATTGGGGGATGCTTATTAACGAGCCTGGAGATAAGGAAACCTCTCCAAACTTCATCTCCCATAAGCTGTCCTGAATATCCCCAATATTCTCCTTCCAGGAAGGTCCAGGAAGCCCAACAGCTCCATGCCCTCTGCTGCAGAGCTGGAAGGTTGGGTAGACTAATTCCCTTTTACAGCACAAAGCAGCCTCTGGGATCACCCATTTTAAAAAGCTTTCTAAACAACAGGAGTCCCTTACGATAGTTTGAGAGCTGCTGCTTAAATTTCCATCCTTCCAAGACTCACTGAACACTCTGGAACTCACCTCTTCAATTTTTTTGGTTTTTGCCACTTCACAAATTTGACTGATTGCTCGTATCCTGTTACTCAATCCACACTCTATGCTTAGTTCCTGGAAAGAAATGGGGAAATAAGCTAACAGTTTATCTTACCAGAAACACTTATCCATTTCTCCAAGGGGAGAAGGAATTCTGGTCTCCTTCTCCCTTTTTTTTGTATTTTCTTCCTTGTGTGCCAACTATTCTGCTTACAGACTTGTGGTACCAATTACTGGAATAAATTGTTTTACTTTTCATTTCCACAGAACCATAAGGCTTTCATAAAACAGAAACAGTTCCCAGCTTGTGGAAACTGCCACCACAGAAACTTCATCAAGCTCAGACCATAAAAAATCAAGGGGACAGGGAAATTGCCTGTAACCCAACATAACAAATATCTCCAAAATATTCAAAGAGTGAATAACTCAAATGCTGGAGCTGTAAACTAGGTGAGTTCTACATCCAGTTCAACAGAGAATGAGTTGAGAGATCAGGAGAGGGAATGATGGAGAGGAACTGAGTGCCAAAAAACCAGGAAAGGAGCAAGCTCTCCTGATTCCCTCAGCTCAGGTACCCCAGGCACTACCCCCACCCTCACTCCACTCAGTTCTCACACCTTGAGTATTTCTGCGGTGATGATAAACTCTGTCTGCTTGCCCTCCGACGACTTGGAACTCCCCCGGGATGTTCCCAGCCCCAGGAGGTTCCTGAACTTCTCCTTCAGCCCGGAATCCTTGCTCTGAGGCTTTGCCATTGCTGCCAAGCGCCGAGGCCCTGCAATCACAGAACAGGGTTCTGGTAAGGGAGGCCCAAGGGGAATATTTCAGCAGGAAAACCCCAATAACAGCATCACAGCAGAGCTTCTCCAAAGAGCCTGGGTGTCTTGAGCCTTTTCAAACACGGGAGAAACCCAACACTGAGGAAACACAAGGAGCTTGTGCTGCTCCTGCCTTCAGCACCCACATCCCACAGCTCCCCATGGAACATGGGGCCTTTGGGATACCCTTTCCTGGGAGCTGTGAGTGCCCAGCCCACTACACAGGCTGATTCTTGCAGTATGTCCACGTGCACACACTTTTTAGAGGGTGTGAGCTGGATACTTGTTCCCAAAGCAAAGGCCAAGCACACCGTCCATGTGGAAGTGAGGAAGGACTTACAGATGTGAATGTTGGAACATCCAATAGCTGCCGTGGCAAGAGAAAGATGGGGCAAGAACAAGGATGGCCATTGCAACAACCATCTCCAGAAAGTGCCTCCCCCGTCCCCTGGGGAGCCTTGCCCTGGGCACAGGACCCTGCACAACCCCAGAGCCCCACGGACATCCCACGGCCTCCCACAGCCTGGGCACAGCAACCCCTGCTGCTCCCGGGGATGCACCACACAGCCTGTCCCTGCACCTGGGGGACACGCCATGGACCTGGATCCTGGCCCAGTGTCACCAGGGGACGTGCCATGGACCCCAGCCCAGTGTCACCAGGGGACGTGCCATGGACCCCAGCCCAGTGTCACCAGGGGACACACCATGGACCCCAGCCCAGTGTCACCAGGGGACACGCCATGGACCCCAGCCCACGATCCCTGGGGACACAGCCAGCCCCCAGCCCTCTGTCCCCAGGGACACTCAGAGTGCACCGCCCTGGGGACCCCCAGAGCCCTGACTCACCCCGGGCGATGGCACACTGTCCCCTGCGACCCCCAGACAAGCCAGGACATGCCACATCCCATCGCCAAACTGGGACATGCCACATCCCATCGCCAAACCGGGACATGCCAGAACCGCTTAGGGACACACAACGGGGGTCACACCCCGATCCCAATAAACACAACGGGGGTCATACCCCAGACCCCGGACACAACGGGGGTCACATCCCAGAGCCCCGAACACAACGGGGATTGCATCCCCTGAACACAACGGGGGTCGCACCGCAGACCCCAATAAACACAACGGGGGTCACATCCCAGAACCCCGAACACAAGGGGCGGGGGTCGCACCGCAGATCCCCGGACACAACCGGGGCCACACCCCAGACCCCAAAAAACACAATGGGGGTCACACCCCCGACCCCCCGAACACAACCGGGGTCGCATCCCCCGAACAGAACGGGGGTCACAGCGCAGCCCCCGGACACAACGCGGGTCGCAGTGCGGCCCCCGCCCCGGTGCCGCTCCCCCGTCACTCACCCGAGCCCGGCCCGGCCCGGCCCGGTCCCGCCGCCCCGGCCCGCTCCGCTCGGGGCCCGGCTCCCGGCTCCCGGCTCCCGGTGCCCGGTCCGGCCCCGCCCCGCGCTCGCCCCGCCCGTTCCGGCCGCCCCGGTGCGCCCCGGGCCCGGTAGTTCCCGGCGCCGCCATGAGCGCGGCCCGGCCCGGCCTGAGGCGGCTGCGCTCGGCCGCGGGCAGCGGCGGTACGGCGGGGAGGGGAGACGGGGCAGGGGAATTGGGGTACGGGGCAGGGATGGGGTACGGGATTGGGGAATTGGGGTACGGGGCGGGGATGGGGTACGGGACAGGGGAATTGGGGTACGGCAGGATATGGGGAACAGGACAGGGAATGGGGCACGGGACAGGGTACAGGCAGGGGATGGGGTACGGGATAGGGGAATTGGGATACGGCAGGGGATGGGGTACGGGACAGGGAACTGGGGTATGGGACACGGGATGGGGTACGGGCAGGGGAATTGGGGTATGGGTAGGAGATGGGGGGTACGGGCAGGGGATGGCGGATATGGCAGGGGATGGGGTATTGGACAAGATATGGGATAGAGGAATTGGGTACGGGACAGAGGAATTGGGGTATGGGACAGAGGAATTGGGGTATGGGACAGGGTAATTGGGTACGGGACAGGGGATGGGGAATGGGACAGGGGATGGGGAATGGGACAGGGGATTGGGGGTATGAGCAGGGAATCAGGGTACAGGACAGGAAATTGTGGGTGTGGGCAGGGGAAGGGGTACGAGCAGGGGATGGAGGGTATGGACAGGAGTGAGGATACTGGACAGGGGATGGAGATAAGAGAGAGGGATCACGGCTTCCTGGGGGTACGGGAAGAGGGGATCGAGGACACAGGGCATGCGGGAGAGGGGGAACTGCTGCCTTGGAAGGGGGATCGGGGGATCGGGGCTGTGCTGGGCACGGGGAGCAGCTGGGGCTGCACCAGGCTGCAGCCTGGCTGGGGACAGGGTCTGGGTGTCCTTGTCACGTCCCCCTCGGAGCGAGGGATGTGGCTGTGCTGGGCTGGGGATGCACCTCCAGCAGCCTCACCTGTGTTTGGGACACTGTCCCCATCGCGTGACATGTGACCCCACTGTTGGCACCTGGTGCCACTTGTTTCGCAGGTCCCTCCCTCGCCCCGTGCTGGCTCTGCTTGGCACCGGGGGATGTTCAGTGCTTGGGCTGGGACTCAGGGCAGGGAACTCACCCTGCTCAGGGTCCCCATGGTGGCTGGTGGCACATGGGGCTGTCACCGAGCTCTGTGAGGGGTGAGGGCAGCGTTCCTGCAGCCTGGCACCTCTGCTGTCCCGTGCAGGGAGCCAGACCCAGGGCCGGCCCGGCGTCCCACGGCGGAGCAGGAGGAGGAAGAGCCTGGCCATCGCCTATGAAGCGGGGCAGGGCGAGGGGGCCGAGCCCCGGCGGGCGCGCTGGGAGCCGCCGCACTGGCGGGAGCAGCTGCAGCGCATCCGGGACATGAGGAGCAGCAGGGATGCTCCCGTGGATGAGATGGGAGTGCAGACGTGCTACGACAGCAGTGCACCTCCAGAGGTAACAGCATTCCCAGAGGGAACAGCATTCCCAGAGGGAATAGAATCCATGGGTAACAGCATTCCCACAGGGAACAGCATTCCCACAGGGAACAGCATTCCCAAAGGGAACACCATCCATGGGTAACAGTATCCCACAGAGAACAGCATTCCCATAGGAAACAGCATCCATGGGTAACAGCATTCCCACAAGGAACAGCATTCCCAGAGGGAACAACATCCACGGGGAACAGCATTCCCAGAGGGAATAGAATCCATGGGTAACAGCATTCCCACAGGGAACAGCATTCCCAAAGGGAACACCATCCATGGGTAACAGTATCCCACAGAGAACAGCATTCCCATAGGAAACACCATCCACGGGTAACAGCATTCCCAGAGGGAACAGCATCCCCACAAGGAACACCATCCATGGGTAACAGCATTCCCAGAGGGAACAGCATTCCCACAGGGAACACCATCCATGGGTAACATCATTCCCAGAGGGAACACCATCCATGGGTAACATCATTCCCACAGGGAACACCATCCATGGGTAACAGCATTCCCACAGGGAACAGCATCCTGCTGCCAGCTCCAGCAGGCACAGCAAAGCACAGCCTCCCTCGTGCTCATGCTGCCCCTGGATCTGTCCCACTTGGGTTATTTCCAGGACAGAAACTGGATCAGGACTCTGGGCTGGGATTGGTCCCACGTGAGGGGCAGCGCTGCTTTATGGAGCTGGCTGGCAGCACGGTGTGAAGCCACATTCTTTTTTTTCCCTTAAAAATCTCTGTAGGACTCCAAGGAAAGTATCCAGCCAGGTGGAATGCAGAGGAATGTGGGGAGCACACAGGGGCAGGCTTGGAGGAGCAGTGGGAGCCACTGGAGTGGGAATGTGAGGATCACAGAATCCCAGAATTGATGGGGTTGGAAGTGGCTTCGGAGACCATCTAATCCAACCCCTCGGACTTGGAGCAGCAGGCGCCTCTGGAGTGGGAATGTGGGGATCATGCAGAGGCAGGCTCAGAGCAGCAGTGGGACGTGCTGGGCTCTGAGGGAGAGCTCTGGAGGACACAGCTGGACAGCCTCGGCACATGGAACGCTGTCCTTGCTGCTGGCATCCTGCCCTTGGGTCCCTGGGGAGAAGGATGAGCTGTGACCCCGGAGCCAGAGAGCCTCACACGCTCTCAGCCACGTGGGCTGGCAGCTGTGGGGCCAGGGGAGCCCACGGAAATAGCTTCTCTTCCCTGGGGAAGCTGCCTTGGTGCTTCCAAGAAGTGGATGTTGTAACTCTCAGCTCCTCACAGCATTTCTTTGTACCATGAGATTATCCTGCTTCCACTCACGCAGGGATTTTTCCTGGTGCACCTGTGGTTTTGTAAACTTTGCAAGAGAGCTGGAGGGAGGATTGTGTCCCAGGTTATCCTGGGTCATCTTGGGTTAGTTGCATCATCCTCGTCGCTCTGCTAGGATGGAGTCACATCTGGAGAGAAAGAATTGGGAAATAGGAGGTGATGGCCTGGCTAAACCCTGCTTGGCAGCAGCAGAGGGATTCCTGGGATTTGTCCTTCTTCTCCCAGTCTCTGTCTTCCCAGTTGTTCAGAGTTGGTTCCCTGAGGAGCTCACTGGAGCCAGACACCCAGTTCCCACTGAAGCCTAGTGGGAAAGGGTTGGGGTTTTCAAAAGCTGCTTAAAGATGCAGCTTTCAAAAGATGCATGAAAAATCATTGGGCATTTGTGCCTGTGCATCCTGTGGGTCTCCTGGGAATGCCATCCTCAGGAAAAGCTTTGTCCAGCTCTTTGTGGCTCAGCACTGGTGTCTTTGGAGTGAGATCCCAGCAGGCAGAGCTCCCTGCCCTCACAAATACTGACAACTGAGCTTGAAGGTGTTTCTTTCCTCCCTTTATTGTGTGGTGGAATTAAAAGGTTATTGATTATTCTTGTTATAGCCTTCTGGTAACTTGTAGGCAGATAGGGCTGAAGGGTGGGAGCACACCCTGCACTGAGGGTGGTGCCAGAGGTGCTGGATCCTCCCAGATCCCCCCAGGGCATCCCTGTGTCCCCAGGTTGTTGCCCTGATTTTTAAAAGTGTTTTCTTTTACAGTTCATTTGAAAGTTCTAAAGTTCATAAAACTTCTTTAACCTTCTAATAATATTTACATATTTGAGAGTCAAAGTTCCCACACAATTCCATGTGTAAATAGAATAGTTTACATATTTCTCTGTGGGTAGAGAGAAATTATTGATTGATCTTTAGACCAGTGTAGTGGAGAGGTGGTAATTCCATCCTCCAATCCATGTCACGTTTAGAATTCTATAACTACCAGATGTTTAAATAAAATAAAACTGGTTTTTTTTCTCTCTTTTGAACTTACCAAAGTTCTGTGTGCTCATTTGGGGTCCAATCTGTCACCAGGTGATGCGCTACCAGGTGCTGCTGGCCCTGATGCTATCCAGCCAGACCAAGGACCAGGTGACGAGCGCTGCCATGCTGCGCCTGCGCCGGCGCGGCCTCAGCGTGGACAGCGTGCTGCAGATGGATGATGAGACCCTGGGCCAGATCATTTATCCCGTGGGCTTCTGGAGGGTGAGTGCAGGGACACGGGGGAACCCCCTGTGCCCTCCTGGTGGGGAGCTCTCTCCCTGGGGTCAGGCTAGAAGCTGGGTTTTACACCGGTTTTGGCACTTTGTGTTGCCAACAGGATGGGATTGTTGGCTGCAGGGCCTGGAGTGTGCAGGGAGCTTGGAGCTCCCAGCTCTCAGAGTTTTGATTTCATGTCGAAGTCAAGGCTCTGTGTCCTCCACAGCTGCCATGTGTGGCCTCACCTGTAACACACACTCAGGAAGGGTTGATTTTCTGGGCTGTGTGCTGTTTTCCCTGTGCTGGAGGGCAGCTTGGACTGTGTGCCTTTCCCCTTGGTTTTCCAGAACAAGGTGAAGTACATCAAGCAGACCACAGCCATCCTGAAGCAGAAGTACGGGGGTGACATCCCCAGCACTGTGGAGGAGCTGGTGCAGCTGCCAGGAGTTGGGCCCAAAATGGCCCATTTGGCCATGCACATTGCCTGGGACAGCGTGGCTGGCATAGGTAACCTGCACTGTGTGTTCCCATCCCTCTCCCAAATCCCAACCCATCCCCCAGGCAGGGGGGAAGCACTGCAGCCCCAGCAGCCTGGTAAGACCCCTTTGGTTCGGTCGTCTGCAGAGGTGAGGGAGCAATGTGACCCTCAGCCACTCACTCAGGGAGTTGTGGGATTTGAGCAGCTGCTGTTCCACCCCAAATTTGATGGCAGAAATTCCCAAGGGAAGTCACAGCTCTGGGGAGCTGGTGCCAGATGGGGCTGGACCATCACCTGCAGGTCCTGGCCTGAGGCCCCTGGGGACAGATGAGTGTTCCAAAAGGATGTGCTGCTTGATGGAAGAGCCCTGGGAAAGGCAGAAGAGTGAGTGGGCGGGAGCTGGATCCTGCAGCTCCTCTGGTGACCATCAGCTGGACAGGCCGTGGCCCCTGCCCTGCTTCCAGCAGCCCTTGGGGTCTGTTGTTCTCCTGCTGTGGGGAAGTCCAGAGGCAGCCAAACCAGCCAAGAGCTTTGCAAATAATTGTGTGCTGGGTTTTGATTTGGGAGGCAAGGCTTAGTCTTCCTGTTTACAGCCATTTCCTGGGGTTTGCCCAATTAGCCCCAGAGACAGGTTTATCACTGCTGATCTAACAATAACACACTTTGCATTCAGAGCTTTTGAGCTCAAAGCACATTATAAACACTGCTCTAAGCCTCCCAAGCCCTCTCTGCTGGTGGGTGTTATGAAATGTGTTTTCCATGCGGGCAGAGGAAGGGGCAGAGATCACGATTTGCGTAACTTCAGCTCAAACTCCGGGAGGATGAGGAGGTGCAGAGGGAATGGGAGCCAGGCCCTGTGCCTGCTCCATGGAGCAGGGGAGCCTTGGCAGAGACAGACACACGCCCCAAATGCTTTTGGATCCAGGCCAGGGTGGAAAATGTTTGTTCTTGGAGTGAGCCTCCCCTGCCCTGCGCTCCCATTCCAGCCAGTTGCTCCTGCTGCCCCGGGGGAAGCCCTGCCCTGGGCCTGGGGCTGTCACAGGCAGCTTTGGCTCTGCTCTCTCCGTTCAGGTGTGCCTGCCCCACCTAAAGTCTGGGCTCTCCCTCCCCAGCTGTGGACACCCACGTGCACAGGATCTCCAACAGGCTCAAGTGGGTGAAGAAGGAGACCAAGAGCCCCGAGGAGACTCGGGTGGCACTGGAGGAGTGGCTGCCCAGGTGAGCTCTGAGCCCCTGCTGGCTGCAGGAGCTCTGTCTGCACAAAGTCCTGCTTGGGGCGGTTTCAGGGATGGCATTTTGGCTCCTTCCTCCTTCCAGAGCTGCAGTAGCTGCAGGTGTTTCCCCTCTGCCAGAGCTACAGCAGCAGCATCTCACCTGCGTGGTGGTTCTGTTGCTGTCAGGTGGATCAGTCACCACTAGTGGGGCTCTTGATCCCTGATTTTTGCCTTACCAAGCTGACCATGACCCAAGCCAGGTGCTTTTCCACTCAGGGCCTTGCTGAGCCCAGTGGCCGCAGCAGCCTCAGCCCAGGGCTGGATTTTGGCCTTCACTGTGTTAATTTTCATATCAAACACCAGCTGGCACGTACAGAGACATCTCCACACCTGGCACGTGCCTGAGCACAGGCATTGCTCCCCCCCAGCCCAGCAGGAGCAGGAAAGGTGGGGAGGGCTGTTCTCAGCAGGGATCTGGGAGGGCTGGGACTCACCTCCAGGAGGAACAGCAGAAGGGGAAAGGGATCCCAATACCACCACGGGCTGTTCTCACCCCTTCCAAGCAGCTGCATGGCACCGGTGCCGTTTGTCCCCTCACTGCAGGGAACTCTGGAAGGAGATCAACTGGCTCCTGGTGGGCTTTGGGCAGCAGACCTGCCTGCCTGTGAAGCCTCGCTGCAGCCAGTGCCTCAACCAAGACATCTGCCCGGCTGCCAAGAGACTCTGAGCCATCACCCAGCTCCAGGGAACAGCCACTGGCAATGGCTCGGCTCTCCAGAGGAAAAAGGGGCTTTGAGAGGCAGCAATCCTGCTGGGACACAGCTGAAGGCTCCAGCCTGGGTGAATGGCTGAGCACGGCCCGGCTGTGCCACACTGAGTCACTGCAGAGAAAAGCTTTGTCCTCGGGGACTTGCTGCTGCTTGTAAATACTCGTTTAATAAAGGTGGTGAGGGGTTTTTTGCACCCACGAGGTTTTCTGTGACACTGGCTGGGGGGAGGAGAAGGTGGGTGACCTCAGCAAGGCTGAACCACAGCAACCTGCCCTGCCAGGCTGAGAGCAGGCAGCACACACCTGCCCAGCCCTGCCACACAACCAGCTGTGCTGCCAACAGGACAACAGCTGTGCCAGGGGATGTTCAGGCCGCAGAGCAGGAGGAATTTCTTCATGGTAAAGGTGGTTAACCACTGGAAGGGGCTGCCCAGGGAGCTGGTGGAGCTCCCACCCCTGCAGGTGTCCAGGGAAGGACTGGATGTGGCACTCAGTTCTCTGGGGATGGGGCACAGGCTGGACTTGATGATCCTGGAGATCTTTTCCAGCCTTGGTGGTCCTGGAATTCTGAGGTGCAGCTGAAGCCATGCCAAGCCAGGAGCACAGGGAATCTCTGCCTGGATGAGCAGCCTCTGGACAGGGCCAGGAGCTGAGCCAGTGCCTCTGTGTGCGTGCCACAAGGGTTACAGCAGCCCCGGAGCCGGGCTGTGTCCCCAGGAGCTGACAGAGGGACAGCACCACCCCTGCGGTTTGTTCTTCAAAGAAAGGGCAGTGCTGACTTCATTGTGGAGCTTCAAAGGCGTAATTCCAGCTCCCCTTGAAAGAGGAAGCGGAGTTTACAATGTGCTAAAGGGCTGCAGTTCCGCTCTGGGCTCGAGGAAGGAGCAGATAAGTGCTGGGTACATGGCAAACCAAGTTTATTACTGACATTACAGTGTACATGGTGGGTTTGCAGAGCTGCTGCCAGCCTTAGACTTTATTGATTTTTCTTTTCCAAGTTAAAATGTACAGGAACTGAATAATTACTACTGAGCTACAACAAGATGAATGCAGTAATGCTTCAACCAGGAGCAGTTTCCATGGACTAAGAGATTAAGATTTTCAATTTTACCAACACGGATTCGCACACCTGATTTCTTTTGATCTACATTCAACACTACACGAGGTTTTTGAACTCCCCCCCTCCAGGCCAGCAGTCTGGGATGAGAGGTGGGGTGCTGACACCAGGGATGTGCACCAGGCTGTCCTGGGGCTGCTCTGCCGGGCTTTGGCCACGGGAAGCGGCGTGCACAGCATGGAAAAGAAAGGCTCCTCCCAAACATTACCCAGAGAGAGAAGACAGCATTTTGGGGGCCAAAAAGAGAGCAGGTAGCTTGAAGTGGGATGGGGAGGAGGTGTCTTGTTAATGGCAGAGCCATGAGGGGAGGCAGCCTCTCCACATCCCCCATCGCCCAGTGCCTGTCTCATCCCCCACAGCCAAACACCTGCACCAGTTCCTCTCCAAAGTCATTATTTTCAACCTGTTCAGCCCATCTACAATCCTAAAAGGTAACTTTCATCAAGAGAACTCATCTCCTTCACCCTGAGGCTCCCCACACTCTCCTGCCAGCAGCATAAGGCCACAGGCACCAGCTGCTGCCCAGAGGAGCCAAACACCAGTGCTGAGCCCCAACCGCTGCTGAGGAGAGCAGAGGGTGGCATAAGGCACCTTTTAGCTCCACAGTTTGGAAATACCTTAGGAAATCCGTGCAGAGCCGTTCTCACACCCGTAGCACACTGACCAGCCAAGGGTTCTGCCCCAGAATGCTGGAGAGAGGCAGGGCACAGCCACAGCTCTGTGCTCACCCCTCATCCACGGCCAGCTCACTGGGAAAAGTGGCTTTGTGTTCCCCCAGCAGGGCTGGGGCTGCTGCTGGAGCGTGGGAGGGATGGGGCAGCCCCAGCCCTGCCCTGGTAACTCAGCTCTGATTCCTGGGAGCTGCAGCTCAGCTGAGTCACCTTCACCCACACAGCCACAGGCAGCAATAAAGAGCTTAAATGCACTTCATTAGTGCTTTAAAGACACACTCTGAATGCCCAGAGTGGGGCTTTGGGAAGGCAGAGGTGCTGCCCACTCCATCACAGCACCTGCACACCCCACGGACACGGAGCATGTCCTTCCCACGGTGACACTCCCGGCCTGGGGACACCAAATCCCAGCCCAGGTGGGACCTGGAGCAGCCCCAGCGCTGAGCCTCAGTTAGAGCTGCATCCCTGTGCTCCCTCCTGAAAGCGGATGTTGGTCATCCCCACTTCCAGGTCTGTCCAAAGGGTTTTTGTAGCACCTCGTGGTTCTCACCTTCGTGCTCCGTGTGGCAGGACTGGCCCTGCTCCTCTTTCTCCTGCCACATCCACGGCTGCAGGTGGGGAGAGCTGTGGCCTTTGGGTTTGGGGTTTGCTTTTAAACCCCACCCTCTCCCCTCTGCAGAGCTGTTTGGGGTGAAAAATGGGCTTTTACTACCTGGGGAGGAGCTGCTGGTGGGGGGAGATATTCCTAAACTAACTGGAAACACATGAGACTTCATTAAAAAAAATTTAAAAACCAACAAAACAAACGTTTTTGCTTCAATAGCAAAGCCAACAAACAATTTCCAGCCACAGTCCATTTTCCCATGGTGGGAGTAGCTAATGCTGGGCACAGGGAGCTGGGGGGGTCCCTGGCACCCCCACCACGAGCTGTAAGATGTTCCCACAGGGGCACCGAGCATCCCATGGGGCTCAGTCTGGGACACCCACAAAGCCAAAACACCCCACATAAAAAGTAAAAAAGAAGTAACAGAAGCCTAAATGATGCAGGTAAGAAACAAGAGTTAAAATTCTTCCAGTCCTTTCTCACAGGAACGAGGGACGGCGGGCAGCCGGAGCCGAGCTCAAGAGCAAGCAAGAAAAGGAGCTTTGGTCACATTTTTCTTATGAGAATCGCTGGTGAGTAACAATAATAATAATAACAACAATAATAATAAAAAATAAAAATAAAAAGGACTTTAAAATACGCCTTGTAAAAGCAACCAGTGAAGAGCAGAGCACAAAGCATCTCACGTGGACACCGAAGGACGGGGCGCGGGCCCCTCAGAAACGTCCGAGCTGGGTGGGAGGGAGCGGCACCAGCAGGGCTCAGAAATTGCTGAAAATCTCCCGTTTCTTGTTCCAGTCCATCTGCGGCGCTCGCTTCTTCACGCGCTTGGCCCTCACCTTCTCCTTGGCCTCGGCGGCTGTGGGGCTCAGGCTCAGCCCGCTCTCCTCAAACGGGTCCTTCTTGTCGGCGTCGCCGTCCTGCAGGGCGAGGGACACGGCTGCCAGCGCTGCCAGAGCAGTGCCAGAGCAGTGCCGGCGATGCCAGCACTGCCACGGCACTGACAGCACTGCCACAGCATTGCCAGCACTGCCACGGCACTGCCAGCACTGCCACAGCATTGCCACAGCAATGCCAGCACTGCCACAGCACTGCCACGGCACTGACAGCACTGCCACAGCATTGGCAGCACTGCCAGAGCACTGCCACCACTGCCACAGCATTGCCAACACTGCCACAGCACTGCCACAGCACTGCCACAGCCCCGCGCTGCCCACGGGGCATCCCCGAGCCTGGAAACCCCCCCGGGATCAGCCAGCCCCACTGTGCCCCATGCCCACCTGGGCACCAGCCCAGAGCCACAGCCAGCCATTCCTCTGGGCACTCCAGCACCTCCCCGGGCACTCCAGTGCCCAACAACCCCTCCCAGGAAGGTGTGGGAATCCAGGAATTCCCTCTGGCTGCCCTGGCTGGGGTCAGGAACCCCCTGGACAGAGCCCCCAGAGACACTGGCTGTGATCTCTGTCCATGGAAAAGAGTTTTCAATCTTACAGGATGAATTACCAGTTCTGAGTGTTTGATATAAGTAATAATTAAGTGTGGCACGGGTGCAAAAGTAAAATTTTAAGATTCTAGATTAGGGGTCCAAAGGGACAAGATGGAGGAAATTGGGTGTGTCTTGTCCTTTTTCTCCTTCTTCATGCCCTCCATGTTTCACTGTGGTGTTGGCATTTTTCTGTTGGTTCAGGCTGGGGACACACTGTCCAACGTAGGTGACAGATATTGGCACGTTATTGTAAATCCAGCACAGGTAGTTTCTGGTATTTAATGTTTGTAACATCCCACTGAGGGCAGAGCCCCACACGCTGCCCTGCAGGACAGAGCTGCGGCAGGGCAGCAGAACATGTTAGAGATAAACAGAATAATAAACTTTGAAACCAGCACAGACCAATTATGGCTTCTGCTTTGGCAGCGGGGCTGAAAGACAGAGATTTTCTACAATTTTGGGATCATCAATACCTCAGATTCTGACAGGAAGGGTTTCTCAGTGGATATTCTCAGTGCAGTCAGAGAGAAAAGGAGAAAGATATCTACTAAGCTAAACCTTAGGTTAAGCACCTGCATGAAGACTTTGCTCTATTTATAGAGAAAAAGTCCAAGAAGAATATAAACTATTATCTCTCTTTCTGTTCATATTGTTTATAGATATGTTCTACCACCGTGTGCTGTTCATAGTACACCAATAGTGTAAAATGTTTTTACTTTAAGACCCATAAAATTAGTCTTTATTCTTTTATATTCTCTATAAAAGACAGACTTTAAATAAACTTCAAATAAATCTTCATTCTTTACCTTCTAAACATAAAGTCATTTCATTCCCATCCCTGCCTCAACAGCAACAGATTTCCTCCAGCCTGCACAATGAGCAAATGCTCTGGGATGTTTTTTTGGGTCAAAGCCCCCTCCCTGTGCCATGCCCGTGGTTTCACTGGCAGCAGCAGCATCCCCGTGGCTGCGGAGCTGGTTGCAACACTGCATTTTGTGGGGGCGTTTCTCCTGCCTGAAGCTGTGTGGCTGCACAGTTGGAAGTGCCAGAGCAGGAGCAGAGGAGGTGCTGCCCGGCTGCACTCGTGTCAGCTGTGGGTAAACACACAGCACGGAGATCTTTGGGTTTAGGGAAACACTGCAGAGCTTTCCTGCTGGCACTGCTGCCCCCCATGCATGCCCAGCTCTGAAACCCAGCGCACAGACCCTGCTGATAACCCTGGGCAGGGCCTGCCACCAGCACCGAGATAACAGCACTGGCCTTGCTGGGCTGAACCACGCCAAACTGAGCTAAACTGAGCCAAACTGAGCCCAGGA